GGTTAAATAAATTAATTGACTTAAAGGCTATTTAATTGGCATGAACTAGTCGCATTTAATGGGAAGGAAATAATTGAATTTAATAAATATGGAATAATTGAATTCAATTGGAACAATTAAATTAAATTGGTGTTTTTATTAAAAATAGTCTCCAATAGACTTAGCACTTTATTTGGCTTCCAATGGGCTAAATAAAGAATTTTTTATCAAGTCAATTAATTGAAATTTTAGTTCTAAGGGATTTTTACTAAAGTTGGAAATAATCATCACCTAAAAAGTTGATTAGTTATTAAACGGAATATGGTAACTAATTAAATAGGACTAAAGGGATTATTTTTCAAACAATCCGAATTTTAAGAAAGATAGTGGGATTTTTGTTTAATTGATTGATTAAGTTAATAAAGATTAAATTGATTATTTTATAATACTGACTAAATTAATGAATCCAAATTTTATGGAATTAATTAAAGAAAATTAAAGAGGCAAATTTTTTTATTTTGATTCAAAATATTATTTTAAAATATTTGATTGAATTTTACAAAAATGAATTTTTGAGCATATTTTTGGGTGCATAGTTTCACATAATTTATTAAGAAGAATTAATATTAAGTTTTAAGTGATAACAATTATTTAATTAAATGAATTTATTTTGGAAAAATTTGTTACCTAATTTTAATTAAAGAATAGACCTAATTAATTATCTTAAGTAAACTTCTATAACAAATATTATTTAATTAGAAAGTAAAACAAAGACGAGACTTGATGTCTTGCATTCATTATATTAGGAATGTGAGGTACCATCAGTAATATTCTTGAACTATTTAGGTTCTAGGTCAAGGGTGTCATAATATTTATTAAGAAAATATTAGTTTTAATTTCAAGTCGAATAAGTATCGGATAGAATCAAAATAAATTAGATTTGATTGATTTAATAAACAAATTAATGGATTCAAATTATAAATATTAAACTCGGATTAACAACTTTGTTAAGATTACAAGACCTTTTTTTTTTTTTTTGGCTTGACGACACCAACTTTTTCTCCACAATTGTTTAAGCGTTTAAGAATTTAATCAATTATGCTATAAATTTTAGCTACACTTACATGCTTGAACTGTAATATAGATGAAGTTGTAGTTCAATTTTTAATCTCATATTTATTTTTATAAAATTAATTTTTTAAAAAAAATGGATTGAGTTGGATAGCCGCAAAGTGAAGAAAGTTCCCTTCAATTAATACGATTAGACCGGATGTGAAGCAGTGATGAATTTGAATATTTCAAATTAAAAGCCGTTAGAATAAAATCTGATACATTCGTAACCGGAACAAATTCTATGCTTGCAAGTTGCAACTAACAATCTGATTGGTGTTTTTCTGCCCCTAAATTGGCAATAATAATAATAGTCAAGTAAAAGTAAAACTGCTAGGTGCTCGAGTTGGACATTATTAGCCAAGGGAAATGCTATTGGCACAATGCTATTTAACCCTTTAAGTCTTATACGTGTTTACAATTAGGTTCACTTAATTATGTTTTACCTCCTTTTTTTAATTTATCTTCTTTATTTCAAAGCAAAGTAAGCATCCAAACTAAATGTTTGGTAAGGATTTTGATACTCTATTGTTTAACTTTTAGAAGTGAAAGGTGACTATACTTAAGAGGCATATTAACTTACACTTGAAAAAAAAAAAAAGGAAGTGATTCTTTTTCAGTTGGAAGATTGGTTATTTCATTTAAAAGATAACGATAATCTTTAAAAAATCTTAATAACAAAAAATACAATAATACATTTATGGATTTTAATTAAATTATAGCTTAAAAAACTTATGTAATGTATTAATTTTTGTTTCTTTTTAATTTTTAATTTTTTATATTATTTAAAATAAATTTGTGTATCATTGAAAGTATTCATTAAATTACATAAAATTCATATTTACTTGAAAAGAATCCCATGTAATGTTTAAAATCTTTTTTTTTTTTTTTTTTACTTATATGTTTTTAAAATTTTCGTTTATCAATAAAAGAAACATGTTTTCAAATAATTTATTTTGATTTCCTAAAAAACCCTTATATTTAAATTATTTCGATTATTAATAGTAATTTTAATTTAAATAGCACAATTAGCTAGATTACTAAATAACCAAATGATTTTAGTGATCGTACAACATAATGTTTTATAATTAACAATTTAATGTATTTAATTTTACAGCACAGTTTTGCAACCATAAGAGAGGGCAAGCATGCCCTTTAACATCTTATGACAAATAAATACAAATGGATTCTTGTTATCTCAAAACTCTACGATCGAGACAATTCTATTATCAAACAGCTAATAGAAAAAGGTAATTCATATATAGTAAATCACACACACACATATATGCCAAGAAACTGATCATTAAATATTGAAACAATACAACAAAAATATAATTAAGAGAAATTCAATATGAAGTCTAGCTCCAAAATTATTCTGGATTTGAATTTCTTTTTGCAGCTTCTATATATATATATTACAAATTCACCAAGTCTGTGGTATATATTATTGAGGGCACTCAGGGGGAGGTTTAGGATACCTGGACCTATCAGAACAATAATCATAAGTCATATAGTTCTTTCTCACATTCTCGTATGCCCTTTGTTGGGTAGGGTTCAGTGTCCAAAATTTTGGAGCATTCCACCAGTAGTTGGTAGAATAACATGGTTGGATGTTTGAGTATTGACCTGACCTGCAGCCACTAATGTCAAATCCGTTGAAATGAGCTTGAAATGGTGCATGGCTCCAATTAGTCTTTGTTTGGCCTCCGTCTGTTGCCCAACTATCTCCATCCCACAAGCTTGCCTCTATTTGCATTGGCTGGGAAGGGTAGCTGACTCCAATATTCGTGTTGTTCTTGAACACTCTTATGGGAGTATCATCCACATAAAATCTGATATTCAATTACATACATATATTAATTATAAAAGCTAGGTAGCTAGAAATATTTCATCAAGAGATGACGATGGTACTTAGTCTTACACAATCTGATATTGGTTCCACAAGATTTTGTAAGAGTGAAAATCTGCAGATGGGTCAAACCAAAGATAAGTTCTTTGCTCTCTATTCCCATGACCATTTGCAAACACATTTGTTTGTAATGTGATTGGCTTCCCTTCTCTATTGCCCAAGAATTCGAAGTCCAGTTCATCGTGATGATTACTGTGTGAAGTTAGCTGCAGGTACCATTTTATGCTTAATTACTATGTTGGAATATTTAATATTAACTTTGAATGCATGCTTGCATGCAAGAATTTATGCTTAATTATCAGCTGGAAGGATACATATGATCAGAAATTAATTAAATTGATAAAATTAAGTAATATACTCACATAAAATGCAGTAACAACGCCAGCAGAATCCTTTCCTGGCAACTTTATCTTCAGATGAATGAATCCGGAACCAAAGCTTAGCTTGGAACCAAATCCAGCACCTATATATACATCCCCACAGCGAATCAAAATAAAAAACACGTACGAGATAAAAAAGAAGCATGCATGCTATATATATATATATATGCATGCATGCTTTATATATATATATATATGAAGCATGCATCTATATATTTATTCATTTCCTACCAATTTGCATATATATATGTGTTTTGAAATGACTAATAAAAAAAAAAAAAGGGCATGCTAAATGAAAAATTGTAAGTTAAAATATGCTAAAAATGTCAGCTTTGTATGGATTTTTGGATTTAAATTTCTAACAGTAAATTTTAATTCAAATCACACCAACACTATCAAAATATAAATTTGTGTGTATACCCATGTATGCAGGAAGGGACTATAATGAAGTTTTCGAAAAGGCGGCTCAATATAAAATAAGATTAGCATACAATATTTGAAAATGAAATAAAATAATAATATTGGATCATCGAATAATAAATAATTTTGGAAGGGCAACTATATATATTTTACTTGAAACAGCCTTAAATTTAAAGGTAAATTTAAAAAATTGAAAACTGATAGGACTGAAATGAAAACGTTTAAAAACCTATGAGCTAGGAAACGCATATGGGAACAGAAGTCAATATATATATATATATATATATATATGTACGTAGCTAGCTCTGAAGTGAAGGAGAAGAAGAAAATGATCGACCAGAAGATTTATCCAGTGAGAGCTGAATCTGCCTTCCTTGATTAAGGGACAAAACGTGATCATATCCCCAAGTAATATCATAATTCTGATCAAAGCTAGCATCACTATTTCTTCTTGCAATCACCCCACTAGTGAGCTGGAGAACTGCAAGGAAAAAAGGGAGAGAAAAATCCATTGTAGCCAGGAAACTCTGATTTATATATTGCTAGCAAACCTTAATTCTTGATCTTAATTGTATTTGTTCAAGCTTGTGATCAGTCCATATATACATGCATGGTTTGCCTCAGCTTTCTTTACAGGAAGCATGAAAAAGCAAAAAGCTGTGCGTACGTGAGCTGTCATTTATGGACTACTTCTCCACACGCTACTGACTTCTTCATGCCAACCCCCATAACACACCCCATCATTATAGTACGTTTTATTTGGAAGCAACTTAAAGCAAAATGACTACCAATTAAAGCACATTTTTCTATCAATTGATTAATTGTAAGATGTGGCCGTTTATCACAAAAATCTTGTATTATTGCTTAAATTTGCTTCCAAGTAATCTATTCTAATTTGATCATTTAGTTCCCTCTTTCTTCACCCATACACATGCCTAATTATTATTCATTAATGAGTTAACATAAAATCATTCTTATATATTCATCGATCTAATAATTATATATCACAAAATTATAACTTTTTTTTGGGTGCATCTTAGCTTCCTTGATGGAACAACTTTTAGCTTAGGTATTTATGTTGTCAAGGAAAAACATTTCTTTGTGTATGCTATGAGACAAGCAAAGTATAACTAATTTTCTAAAACAATTTGTTGTTCAAAAAGAGCTGGCCCCTCTTTTATTGGAGTCCAAAAGTCACAACTATGAAAGGAAGTAGTTTCCTACCCTCATACTATAACATATTGGGGATAACTTGTAGCTAAGAAGTGCTGTTAAGAGGTTGGTTCATATGGCAAGGAAAAGATACACTCAATATAAAGAAGTTGGTTCAAATCTTATATGCGACATTGAGTTGTTAGACATTAAAAAATTAATGTAACTAGCTAGATGTAGGAGGAGTCGAATTATTATGACAAATTGAATTAATCATCACTATAAAAATAAAAAAAATTCTTATCCCTTTTTATAATAATTTTTTAAAAAACTTAAATACTCTATAAAATATGAAAAACGCACCATAATTATATTAGAAATTAAACCTATTGATTCATTCGATTAATCTCGGAACATTTATGAGTATATTTTAAAATTTAATTTTATCATAATGGTTAGAAGTCAGAATCTCTATAAATATGTGTGGATATGAAAAACATATTGTTCCCAGCTGATCTTTTGCGTCCATGTAATTAAGAAGAAAAAGGAAAAAGGAAAACTAGAACTAAGAAGTCATATATATTCTGCCATCGAACAGAGTATCTTGTCAATGATGGGCTCGACATCACGGCTTGATCTTATGGTGTTCTACTGGGCTTGACATCACAGCTTTAGCTTATGTTGTTCTACACGTATTTATAAAACTAGAAGGTGTGGCTGGCCCACCATAACCACTTGTATATTTTCCTCGTTTAATAATTTAAAATTGAGCCTGTTGAATTTCCTCATGGACTCGTGGTTTCTCCGCTAATCTTGATGCCGGCACATAATCTAATTTGGGAACAATTTTGATGGGACAAATCTGACGATTTATCATTGATGGGACGATTTTTTTAATGGGCTCTTCGGAAAGAAGTAGAATAGCACACTAGTCTGGTCAAGAAATTTTTATCTTATTCCATCAGTAATTATAATGCTTATTTTATATGAGAAAAATAAACACAAAAGAAAAGGAGAATCTTATCAGTTTTAATAGATTCGATATATATATATATATCAAAACAGATTCATAAAATAGATATTATTAATTATTCTTTTAAGCATTATAAAATTTCTAAATTCTCATGACTCCATAACCTGAGCACCATCCTCCTTAATCCTAAGAAACGTACGGACACAAGGCAATTTTGTTCCCAATCTTATTAATACAAGATTTAATGACAAAAATTGTTCATGATCTCTATTATAATTTAGTAATTTTAATTCTTTACGATTAATTTACGTAATTTGAATATTAAAATATAATTTTTGGACAAATCTTATTCAAATTGTATTTTTCTCATTATTTGTAACGATCAATCCATTTGATTGTTATTTTTTTTCGCTGTTAATTTTTGAAAAAATGTTTAAAATGTTTTTCCTCTATTTTTCTATAGAGATTCTTTCAATTTAAAATTTTTACATATTAATTCCTTTGATTTTTTATAGGCAATCAAATTTTTATTTGAATATATTTTTTTTATTTTAAAAAAACTTTTATATAGTATCATTATCCATTAAAATAATCAATTTTTATAATTAATAAAATACAAATATCCATTGATTGAAGTTGATCACCTAAAATTATCAAATAATTAATTTTAACTAAAAATTTTCTTTTATCATGTCTATAAATTTATTCTTATGATTTTTAATTATTAAATTTTAAATAACGTAATATTTTTAATATTTTTTTATCTTCACATGTTAGGATTTTATATTTTCACAATTGATTCAAAATATAATATGCATTTAAAATTGTAGAGTTAGAAAACCATTTTTTAAAACTTTTCTAATTTTATTTTATTTTTAGTTTTTTAAAGATAGTTTCAAAGAGTGAAAGCCCTTTTTTCATGGAGAACCAAAAAAAAGTTTACTATAAATTTAATGAACTTTTTTTATTTATAGGTAAACAGATATTAAAAAAAAAACCTCTATTGAAAAATGGAGGAAAATTATTTTTAAATTTTTTTTAATTAATAGCAAAAAAAAAATTAACAACCAATTGGATTGATATTACAAATAATGAAAAAATATAATTGATAAGATTTGTTCAAAAATCGATATTTTATGATTCGAATTATATAAATTGATAATAAAAAACTAAAATTGTTAGATTGTAACAGAACGAGGATAATTTTTATCATTAAATCATTAATATGACCACCATGAAAATCATTACAAGATGCTAACAAACATTTAATCTCATAGATAATTCCTAGAATCATCTAAGCTGGAGGTTCGAAGGCTTGTGACCATATGCAAGCTGTCACTCTCCACGTAGACATTATGTCAAGCGGACACCATGCAGAAGGTCTAAACTTCTGTCGTGACCACATCTTTGAATCCTAGGATCTTCTTGATAAATCACCAATATAATTGATCGTTAATTTTTTTATTGTTAATTATAAAAAAATATTAATTGTTTTATTTTTAAAAAGATATATTTTTTTCTATTCGTTTACCTGTAAAATAAAAAAAAATCATTAAATTTATCACTAAACTTTTTTTTTTGTTCTTCTTGAAAAAAAAAAGGCCTTTTATTTTTTGAATCTATTTTTAAAAAATAAAAAAATAAAATTAGAAAAGTTTTTAAAAAATGGTTTTATCTAAAAATTTTAAATTTATATCATATATTTAAATCAATTGTGAGAAAAATAATCCTATGAAACATGTGAAAATAAAAAAAATTAAATAAATATAGCTATACTTAAAATTTAATGATTGATAATCACAAGAATAAATGTATTGGCATGAAAAATAATCAATTAAAATTAATTATTTACTTATTTCAATTGATCAAATTCAACTAATAGATATTTGTATTTTATTAATTATAGAAGTTAATTGTTTTAATAGATAATAATACTACATAAAAGTTATTTTTTAAAACTGAAAAAAAAATTATATACAAATAACAATTTGATTGATTATGAAAAATCAAAAAGATTGATATGTGAAAATTTTAAATAAAAATAATCTCTCTTGAAAATGGAGGAAAATCATTTTTAATATTTTTTAAAAAAATTAATAGCAAAAAAAAAAAAACAACAGAAAAAAGTAATGGTCAACTAAATTTACCGTTACAATTAATAAATTTAGGTAAAATTTGTCAAAAACAGTTATTTTAGAATTCAAATTACATAAATTAATAATAAATATATAAAATTATCAAATTGTAATAAAACAGAGTAAGTTTTTTCATTAAACCCATAGCAATCTATTTACATCTTTGTTTGGAAGCAGTTTTTTAATGACTTTTGTTACCGAATTCTTTAATTGTCATTCTAACCAATTAAGTAATTAACGATGATAATTTTACCGGATTTTATATATAAGATGGCTCCATTTATTTGAATGGAGCATATTAAAGAATTTTTGTTTTTAATGGAGATGGAGACATGTAAATGTGAAGATGGATAGAGTATTCTCTGTTCCATTGGACTTCTCTCTCTATATATATATATATATATAGTTTTTTTCTTTTTTAAATTACCTGGATTAACTTTACTTAGTTAATAAATGTACAATATTTTATTTTTTCATGATCTATACAATTTATTCAAGGTCAACTGGTCACAAAAATCATGTGGACCTCCGTCAGAGGTCTGCCTTCAATGGATTGAAAATTGATTTCCATAAAAATGGAGGCAAGTATCCTTCGTCTCAATAGACCTTTGATTGTCATTCCTATCACCATTAATCGTGGCAACACTACTAAAAAGTCAAGATCCAGACCCCAAAAAACTTCGTATTAATTCATGCCTCTTGATCAGAAGTTTATAGTTCTGTTGAAACTGAACTTGAATTATCTCCCTCCACCCCCATCTTCCTTGTATATTGATCATTAATGTTTCCATGAGGTCTTTTGATAAAGAGATTTGAGGCGAGTGGTTTAAGATCTTATTACTCTTTGTTTAAACTTGAGGATGAATTTCTTTTAAACGATGATGGGTACTGATTTGGTTTTTTTTTTTTTTCAATATGAGTTGAGTGAGTTATTATGGATGATATTGATTTTTTTTTTTTACTCACACCTCCTAAAGTTCTTATAAAACTAAGATTTGAATTCGTGATATCTTGAATACTAACAAGAGGCCATTGCTAATGAATTAGAAGCTCATTGGTATGATGGTTGATGTTGAAGAGATAAAAAAGAAGTGGTGGCAACCACGGTCCAACCTTCAAGATTAAGGTGATAAGTGGTGGTGTGGGTTTATCATAGTGTTAGTGTTCGCATTGAGAGGTATTGTAAAGGGTTTCATCTTCTCTAACTTACAAATTTAAAGCTAAATTGTTTTCATCCTTTGCTAATTGGTCAATGGTAAGGGTGTTTATTTGGTTATTTGGTTTGATTTCAAAACATTTCGAATAGTTTTCGATTAACCAAATTTTCAAAAAAAAAAAAAAAAACTAAAATCAAACCGATATGTTACTCGATTTTTTGGTGTTCGAGTAATTTGATTTTTATTCTTTTTATTTATTTTTTATTTTTTTTCATAAATGGCTGATCTATTAAAGTTTTTGAGATCTCTATTTAAAGTGAGCTTCTTTTTCGCTTTGTGGACTACTAGTTAGAAAATTAAGTTGCGGTCAAAAAAATAATAAAAGTATTGATAGATAAAGAAATGATAAATTGTTCACTCAAGAAGGCTTAAATTTGAGACGACGTAAAATCTATCGATCCTTTTACTATTTTATGTACATCTAGACTTGTAGCAGAGACAGAGAGAGAAGTCGTGGGAGGAAATGCATTTGGAGAAGAATAGTTTTTCAATTTGGGAATAATGAATGCAATGAGTAATCTGACTTAAAAAAGAATATATATATATATATATATATATATATATATATATATATATATATATATATATATATATATTGGTTTTTTGGTTTAATTGATTTTTTTTTTTAAAAAAAAACCGAACCCGAACTTGAAAACCAAAATTATTTCGGTTCGATTTTTTTAAAAATAAAAAACCCCGCATCAAAATTGATATTTCAATACGCTTCGATTCAATTATTCAATTTTCACCGAATAATAAATGCTTCTAGTCAATGATGTGTTTGATTTGTTGTGGGTTTCAATTAACGTTGGGTTTTGATTAATTGAAAGGCAATTTTTAAATGTATCCATCTATTTGCCTCAAGTATTCATATTTATCTTTTGTATTTCTAATTTGGTCAATCAATTCTTATGTTTTTTTAATTCATTCAATTAACATTTGTGTTCTTTGAATGTGTTCAATTAATCCAATCGTTATATTTTATCAAGTTTCTATATTAACTATTCAAGCTAATTATGTAGCAATTAAATATTTTTCTTTGTGAAATAACCTATCAAACGAGTTTAAACACTGTACTCTTTCACTACCTAAGATATTTAAAGAAAAGGGCCTCGTCGTCTATCTCTTTTTAAATGTACTCAATTGATCCAATAGCTATATTTTATAAAGTCTCCATATTAATTATTCAAGCTAACTATAAGGCAATTAAATGCTTTTTATTATGAAATGAGGTGTGGAGGCTTATATCACCACATAAATTTCCTTAGATTTATTTTTCTAAGATAATTTATCAATATATATGGATTTTTTTTAAAAAATAATTTATGTTGTGATATAATATAGAAATAATATATTTTTAATAATTTCTTCAGTTATTGGGTTAATTTGATAAATTTAAAAATTGTGAGTGTCAATTGAACGATTTCAAAAAACATAAAAGTTAATTGGTCAAATTAAAAATACAAAGATAAAAATAAATAATTGATATAGATACAAGGATATATTTAGAAATTTTGCCTAATTAATAAATTGTAATAAATTAGAAAAAAAATTATTAATAAGTTTTTTGTCTAATAATAATGAATTAATTTTTTTTTATTTAAAGTATTTGAGTTGAAAAAAAAAAAAACTGATCGCAAGATGTTCCTCTTCAATCAATTAAATCCGTCGTTATAGCACGACATTCTCTTTGTCTGACTACTACCCCTCAGCATTAATATCGTACATTTGGAGAAGGAGACAAACCCTTGACTAACAATCAATCTAGAATAGTCCTTTCTGTTTTCTTTTGAGAGTTATTTCCTTAATGCGGACAGCTTCCTCAACTCTTTCTAGAGCACAGATATTAAACGGTTAAGATACTGCCACATCATTATCATATAAAGCGGAAGAGAGCGTGACACGTCAGTCCAGTCACCTGGGGATCCATCAAAGCCTGCGTGTGAGACGCCCTAACGCAGACGCGACAAAAGTCCCAGTGGACCATTTAAATCTTAAACAAAGCAACTCTAAAAGGATGTGTCTTGCTCACCTCCACGTGAGTCGAGTAGAATTTTGTGGTTGGTGTTTACTGTTGTTTTTGGGCACGATTCTTTTTTATTTTTTAAAAAATATATATTTCTTCACATGTTTTTTATCTTATAACACAATATTTTTATTCAGTAATTTTGGGTAAAATAAAACAAGTACGTGTAGTAATGCAATGCATATGTTTTTTATAAAAATATATTATCATTAATTTAATATTTTTTAAATATATTTTTTGATATTTTTAACATTAATATATCAAAATTATTATAAGTAAAGAATATACTCTTGTGATATAATGTTGTTTTGGTTTGATTAAAATCAAATTTTAATTTTCATTATTCACGAATAATTAGTTGTCTAGTGACATCAAATTTAGGTTAAGTTTGATATAAATTGTAGTTTAATAATTAGTTAATAAGTAGATGTGTTTTGGTATTGACTTAACCTATAAAATAATAGGCTTAATTTTCATTGACATAATAATTGAGAGGAAGATACTCTATTATATTTATATACATATGAAAACTATTAAAAAACCATCAAATTGATGTTTTTCGATCTTAATGCAATTTAAAAAGTATATTACGAACACATTACCGAACGCTTCATTTGCAAAGCTGCTGGCCCAAATATCATGACCTTGCTGGCATGAGTGAGGAGTTCTTGCAACGCAACTACCGGATTAATAGTTTTTTTTGGTTCCACGACATTGCTGTTCAAGCAAAGGCCTTACATTCTGCTCCCAAATCCCAAGTTGACACATACATTGTCTTCTCATCGCATAAACTTCCTGCATCCTTGAAATGAAATGTAGTAGTTTTAATACACTCGGGTTGGTTTGAATGAAACTATCAAAGTGATTTCGAGTTTAAATCCTTATTTATATAGAAAACTTTTTGAATAGTTGTCTTCGTCTTATATTTTCAACAGAACATCAAGAGATTAGTTTGAATTTTTAAATCTAAGATACTTTAAAAATAAAAATAAAATGTAGTAGTATTATAGTTTTTTTTTTTCAGGCATCTTGCTCATTCAGTAGCAGAGAGTGGGTGTCTCTGCTCCCTAATTTAAGATCAGAATCGGGTCTAATGTAGAACATTTAATATTTACAATGTTAATTAGCATGAACAATAATTGACACATCCTAATTGTGACAAAACGATTGACCGAAACCCATTAACATCACTAGAATATTGCATAATGCATAGTAGTATTCTTTTGCTTTCTTTAAGGTACTTACCATACAAATGACACATCTCAGAAGATATAGATTAAGCTATTCTAACTTGTTGAAGTCGATGGTAATTGGTAAGCCTCAAAATGACTCCTTAAGCAAACTCATGCAAGGCCAATTTTGTTGATTTGCCTGTATATTTACACCAACATTCATTCCTTGACTCCAACTCCAATGCATAAACGTAATCACTTGCTCTGGCTAATGTTAAATCGATTTATCATAGCCGTGCCAGTGCCAATCAGAGGGTCCACCTTGATCGATGAAATGCAGGTATGCAAGTGTTCGGCAAAGAGAAATGCCACATAGCTAAAACCACATCTTGGCTAATTCAAATCTTTCCTTGATACTTGATACCCACCACATGATCATCTTTATAAATAGTTTCCCATGTTATGGAGAATCACATGCCAACCTTCCACCTCTCACCGCCTAGCTAGTTGTCTCCCTGTTTCTATTAGATTCACCTCCCTATTTTCTTTGTCTTCATCGTCTCAAAGGGCTATATTGCCGACAGGACAGGAATCTTCAGCATCTAGACAGCACAGATGGATCTCTCATTGCTGTCCATTTGACCGAAGTTGCGACCTTTTTCACTCACTCTCTCTCTCTCTCTCTCTCTCTCTCTCACACACACACACACACAAAGAGGCTTGTTCCTATATAAGTAAAAGGGTATAAAAAATATCAGGCAGAACATGGAGGTGAGCTTTGTAAAACTTGACATATCAGATACTGAGATGTACAGAGTTCACATCAAAGCTTAATTATGTCCCCACTTGAATGAATGTAGCAGATATTCCACAAGATCTTCAAGGAAGCAAAAGAAGAAGCAAGAGAAAATTCATCCAGCCCTACCACTAAAAACAACACTAACGGTGAGAAAAAACTATCTATCAATAGCACTTAGTTCTTAATTAAACAGGCTGCACATTAGTTTCTGTTAATTAATATAGCTTTTTTCCTTGCAAATTTCAGAGCAAGCAGCTAAAGGGAGAGAGATACTTTTGCTGAAGCATCGTAGGAATCATCGAAGATCAGAAAGGGCCCGAGAAAGTAATAAATTTGGCTCCAGAAATTTCTGGCCATTTGCATTTTTATGCAGAAAAGATGTTGCAAAAGCTTGCTTCTATAGCACCCTTGATCTAAAAAGGCCTAATAGCTACAATAGTAGTCAGCTGCATTGCATACCCTCTAGGAAGATGAAGCAAGAAGAGACTGCTGGTCGAGGACAAGGAATGGGTATTAGTAACAAAGTGGATTCAGCTGCTGAAGGTGGTAATAAAGTTCTACCAGTAAGTGGCACGACATTGTCATCCTCAGCCCGGACAAATGAACAGTCTAGCACGTTGGAGAAGAAAGACAAAATTAAAGGGGATAAAAGCAAAGCCATATCGAGAATGAAGGAACTATTGAGATGGACTGCTGCTGCAAAATCAGAGAGAGGAGGAAAGTTTATCAGCCGAAAGGTACGCTTTTTTTTTTTTTTTTTTTTTGACATATTTGAGTCATTAGGTCTCATCACTGGATCACAAAAGTTAAAATATTCTCCTGTCTCTGCATGTTTGAGCTTTTGAGTACATGCATGGACTCCGCATGTAGTATTTATTATTCTCTGCCAATAGCAAACTTTTATCGAATCAGCTATAGATGTGGTATAACTATAAAAAAAGTATTTTAATTTTATCAAAATTAAAATTTAATTCACATTATTTACATAAAATTAGTTATAATTACTTTTTAATGATGCTAGATCTGAGATTAAAAATTAAAAGTATTTTGATGTTGATTTAGCTCGTGAAGTGTTGAATTTATTATCGGTTGGTGCGATAACTCATTGGAAAATACATCAAAATCTATAAATATGAAAAAAAAAAAAAACTTTTACTGAATCGTTAAAAACAGGGGTTTAAGCAGGTAATGCATGCATTGTACTAATTTTACAGTACTGCCCCATTAATAAAGGGCACTCATTCGGCTATAAACAACTTACTACTGGAAAACTGAGCTGCCAATATATTATATATATCAGTTTGTTTTAATGTTTTATTTTTGTTATATTTTCAGGTTCTACAGCTTAGAAGCCGAGCAACCCTTAAAGCAGTAACAGATGATGATCAACTCAACATTGAGTCTCCCAAAATCAGTTTTGGATGGGAAGTTGAAAGCTGCTCAACCCCTTCCTCTGCCTACTCAGCCATTTCAATGGCTTCTTCCAAGAATATTAATCTCAACATGTTATCAACGAATTCCACTCCTGTTCATCATAGAAAAGGAAATTGGATCACAACAGACTCTGAATGTAAGAACACCTCGATCTCTTTGCTCCATCGCTTCTCTCTCTCTCTCTCTCTCTGTCAAGCTTTACTAATACTTCCAAATGGTATTCTGACGGACAGTTGTGGTGCTAGAGCTGTGAAGAAAAATGCCTAAAGATGGTGATTCTCCATGGTAGTAGAATTGAATCAACTTGCTCAATTAGGCAATTCTATCATGTGATAGATTGCTGTTTGAGATATTAGTTTATTACTAGTAACCATATCAATGTAATTATGATCTGAAATGTAATCCCCTTAATGAAGGTGGCCTAACTTGATTAGATATATGTTATCACTTCGTGGTAGACCGGGAATCGTGTTTGTAGCTGGACATGTACAAAAGAGTAAGGCTTGATCGGGGTTAGAATAAAATCGGCTCTTCCGACGAACAAATCAATCATTTTAGTGATAATAAAATAATAATCTTATTTGAGAATTGAATCTTACCTGTACCTAAATCTCTGTCCTCTTTGATATTTTCTAAAGTCTCTAAAAATCCATGTTTTCGTATTAGCCCCTAGCATAAAGAATTTTTGTTGTAAATTTCCTTCATACATTGCAACCTAACAATTTCCTGCAGAGAACAATTTTTTTTGTGCTAATATGGTTTCATTATCCATCGCGTTCACCTGATTTGCACTTAAAGAATTCACAGAATAGCTCTTATGTGTGAGAAATAAAGTGACCATATACACAAGATATAAATTTTCTCAGATTCTTAGCTTTGAATGCCTTTATCAGTAACCCGCATCTTACTTCTATTATGCCCAAAAAAGAAATGAGTTCGATAAAATTAAAATTCATGGAGCAATATTTCCCATATTCAAGTTAAGAGTCATCTTGAACTAAGAAATGCTGAAGGAAAGAATTCATCGTGAATATAAAAAAGCCATATAAAGGCCTAATGCGACAAGCTACCGCAATATGATAAAAAGATTACTAATACTCTAAAACACAAGACATAAATTTCACTGCTCAATGAAAAGTGTTTTTTCGAGTTTCTTTTCTTCTTCTTCTTTTTTTTTTAACCTTCATATATATATATATATATATATATATATATAGAAAACACTAAAGCAAAATAATATTTTACTATTCATAAAACTATTCACATACTTACAAATCACTATTCATTTCACTATTTATGTCATTTTTATAACACTTTGGTCCTAAATTTTTCTATACTTTTTTTTTCAATTTCAAACTTTAGTTGTGTTGTGATTTGATCCCATTTTGTTTTAGTATTTTTTGTTAATTATTTTTATTATTTAAAATCTATGACTTTAATTTGTCATTTTTTCAATTCTCATCCAATTTAAAATTATATGGTCCTCAATTTTTCTATATATTTTTTTTTCAATTTCAAACTTTAATTGTATTGTGATTTGGTCCCATTTTGTTTTAGTGTTTTTTGTTAATTATTTTTATTATTTCAAATTTACTACTTTAATTTGTCATTTTTCAAAATTCTCATTCAATTAATTTAAAATTATATTTATTGACGAGTTCGATTTATTTCAATATTATTCATTCTTTTGTAAATAAATATATAAAAATTAAATTCACATTTTTTTCAAAAATCGATATTCTCATCAACATTAAATAAAAATAAAAAATTATTTGTTCAATTCTATATAATCTTTTAATAATTGTTTTTTTTTTTTTGACACAATCTTATGAAATACTAAAGTTTTTTTTTAAAAAAAATTATTTAATTTCCTTTTTAGTTAATAATCCATGGATTAATAAGGATAAATATTTTTTCTAAAAGAAAAATTAAGAAAAACACAAATAAGAAATAGTTAAATACAAACTTTTTTATTAAAAAATTATAAATATATTTTTTCACTTTCGATTTCATATATTTTTATAGATTCAAACCATAAAACATATTATCAAACTAAAATGATTTTGCTAAATGATTTTATATATTTTATTTAACTTGCAACATAGCGCGGATAAAAAATCTAATATCCATTAAAAGTGGTAGAAGGATCAATTTCTGGATTATAAATAAATAAATAAAAAGATGATATATTTCTTATATTTTGAGGTGAAATGAGAAATATACTTTATGGTAACTTATTAGTAGGACATGATAACTAACAACGCATTTATCAAAATGACATATAAGTTAGAGGAAATATATTGAGTGAGTTTGTACAAAAGAAAAGAATTTCCTTCCTTCCCACCCATACTATGCTATTTCATATAAGGGAGGAGGAAAAAACAATTTTCTTTCACAAGTCATGTTAGCCAACACTCACAAATAAAAAGAAAAGAAGAGGCACTTTCATAACTCGACTCATCTCATCATTCATTCTTCCTTTTACATCGTCTCTTCTTCTTTTGCCAATTAAACTTTCAAACTTCCATCATCAAAATTCCTTTTTTAGATTAATAATATATCCTCCAACATTTCTTTTAGTGTATTCGGCATATTTAGAGAGCTAGATGGCAACTTCTCTTCCTTTAATGAGCTTTTTTTCAATCTAACTTCATCGAATTTCCTTCTTATTTGCCCTTATTCTTAAAAGAATAGGTCATCGAGATGTTTTCAAGAGATGGGGCTTGCTAAACCGTATATTGGTCTTTTGAAAGACATATTAGTAACTTTGCTTAGCTATTTCAAATAAGTATTTAATAGTTAAGTTTATTTTTATTTCTTGCAGTTGTTTCAAGACTTTTTATATACTTAGAATTTGATAATTACAAATTTAAGAATATTATGTAAACTATATAATCTTTTTTATTTACATTCAACAGACATATATATATATATATATATATTATTTTTATAGAAAAAAGAGTAAATTATTAAATTTAAAAGTTAAAAAAAACTAAAACACTAGACATGGTTGTGTAATCGTCACTATAAATTCTAAAGTTAAAGGAGATTTTAACCACCTTAAAAAATCATTTTACGGTTGTTATCACCTAATTTTTTACTTTCTATTTATTTTCTTTTAATTCTTGGCAATGAAAAAAAAAAAAGGAAGTGTGCAATTAAAAATAAGAGGTTAAAATTAGTGTTGGAGGGTCCAATTAAAAAAAATAAGAAGTTTGAGAACCAAGAAAAACTCAATCGAAGGTACAATTAAAAAACTCAAAACCTCAAACACTTAAAGAAAGAAAAGAAGGGTATAATTGGAAGGAATTTAAAAAATTCAGATTAATTGTAATTTAAAAGTGCCATTGAAATTCAAACAATCGAATCGTACTTAAATTGATGAATTAAGAGAATTAGGGACCAAAATTGACCTTTGTCCAAAAGGCTCCAAAATCGACTTATAAATCCAAATGCACCCTCTTTAATTTTTTGATAGACTTTACTATTCATCCATCTCCCACAAGAAAGACTTGTAGCTAAACCTCTTTCTCCTAGAATTAAATCTCTCTTGTCTTCACCTGCTACTACTAAGTAATCGCCATCGTCTTCGACCACCATCGACTTTAGCTCGTCGTCGCAACTCGCTTCGACCGAAGCAACCACCATCACCAACCCAAAATAGCCATTAGACCCGTAATTGTCAAGCATAGCACCAGCCCCAAATCCAACCCGAAACAGACCCCTAGACCTATAATTATCCAACACAGCATTGGCACTCGCCACCTTTTTCCTCTTTAGCCATCGAATCACCAACACTCGAGCCCGTCCTTCCTCCTCTCATCGAAATAACTAGGCCACTCCTTCATCTCACCCGAAACAGACCCTTCTTCCTCTCACTAAAATAACCCACCCTTCATTTCTTTCATCTTACACAAACAAACCTCCCCTTTTTCCACAATTGTCGACTTCCACATCCAAACACTAGCCACCACCCACATGAACATCACTTTTCCCTCAATCAAATCTACCATCACCATACTAGCCTCCTTATCCTCGGCCGAATCTACCAACTCCACCATACCAACCTCTTTCTTGACCGAACTATACCAACACGAATGGCTAGTCTCCATCCTTCATGATTTCGGTTTAAACATCTATTTCTACAGACTTCATACCTTAGATAGAATCAAGCGAGAAAAATGCCAAACTTATAGGTTGTTTTGTTATTATTAATAATAGAAGTTTGATTAATTATGGATAGAACAAAACTTTTTAAAAAATGTTGTTTGGATTGTTGAGTTTGGCAAAAATAACATGATGTTGCGGATTGCATTTGTATTTTGTTTTTTTACGGGAATAACATAGCAACTCCATTATTGCCAAGTCCTATTAAGTTGCAAGTAAATTTAGCTAGTTGCAGCAACTTTGACAAGTTACGATAACTTTATCAACGGACGACTTCTCTCTTTCCTTGGCTAACTAAACAATCAATTATCATTTGAGACAAAGAGAGTGGTACTAACCCCAAATCGGACTTTTGGATAAATTAAAACCTTTCGAAATATTTTAGGTAATTTTTAGACCTATAAAGATTAGTTTTAATTAATAAATAGAAATGATGAAAATGTCATATTGTAGATGATTAAACTATCAAATGTTTTGCTTGATTATGAATGAGATAATTACCATGTTTCCAACTATATGAGATCATTTTAACTATTTTCTCGCTCATCAAAAAAGAGACCACCGATGACTTTTCACCTATATGAATAAAACCGCCAATGGCCTTAAAACCATTTTTATCCAAAAACCAATCATTGAAATGATGTCATGGGTAACTTTTCACTTATTTGAAAAAGTCGTCGGTGATTTTGAAATCATTTTATCTATTTTTTGTTCATCATAAAAAAGCTCATCGGTGACTTCACACAAATGCAAACAAAGCCGTTAGTGCCCCCAAAATCATTTTTATCCATAAAATGAAGTCATTGGTAACTTTTCACTTATAGGAAGAATTCAACGAGTGATTTCAAAATCATTTTACCTAATTTTTGTTAGCTAGAAAAAAGGCCATTAGTGTCTTTTCACCTATGTGGACGAGTCGCCAATGCTCCCAAAATTATTTTTATCCAACAAATTGATCGAAATGAAGTCTTTGATAATTTTCTACTTATGTGATGAAGTCACTAATGATTTCAAAGTCATTTTATATGTTTTTAACTTATTTAAAATGAAATCGCTAGTAGCTTTTAAATCATTATTATCCTTCCAAATGATTTGTTTTATGGGCTTGATTCATAAGAGATTCATCATTTTTATTATGATAGAACATCTCTATCGTGAGCTGAAGTTAAAGAGACTCACAACTTTTATTCCGACGTAACATCTCTCGTTACAATCACAAGAGACTCTTCACTTTTATTATGATAGGACATCATTTTCGTAGGCTACTCGTCACAAGTGACTTCCTATTTTCTTTTTAAATGATTTATTTTGTGATTTTAGTCATAAGGGACTCGTTACTTTTATTCTAATAGAACATCTCTATCATAGGTTGTTGTCATAATGGACCCGTTATTCTCTTTCCAAATGATTTTTTTATGTGATTGAATCATAGAAAACTCATCATTTTTATTATGATAGAACATCTCTGTCATGGGTTGTAATCATAAAAGAATTGCCACTTTTATTTTGATAGAATATCTTTATCGTGGGTTACGATCATAAGTGACTCACCATTTTCTTTCCAAATAATTTTTTTATAGGTTTGAGTCATAAGAGACTCGTTATTTTTGTTCTAACGAACATCTCTATTATGAGCTATAGTCACAAAGGACTCTGCTATTTTCTTTCAATGATTACTTTTATAGGTTGTAGTCTCAAAGAACTCGTCAGTTTTATTTCATTTAAATGATTTTCATTTTTGTGTTGTTGGTGGCATCCTACTTGTGTGAATGGAACCACCAACAACCTCCCATCTTTTTACTTGTGTGAATCAAAATTATCGAGTGATTTTCTATTTATATAGATGAAGTCATTAGTAGTTTCTTAATTATATCAATATAGGCTCGTAATCCTAATAGACTCACTTTTTGCCAATACGGATCTACAATCATTAGGGTTTTAGTTAAAATTTCAATTCAATCCACCTTTCCCTTTTTGAGTATGGGTATTGTCTTTGGATCGGCCTAAACCCCGAGTTATTCTACTTTTCCATCTTGATAAAATAAATTAACCGAAATAGGAATAGAAATATAATATAGTAAAACTAGAATTTTATTTTCACACGCAAACAATGCAGACTTACCTCCGATAGTTTCTTAATTATATCAATATAGGCTCGTAATCCTAATAGACTTGACTTTGCTAATACAAGTTTGCAACCACTCGGGATTTTAGCTAAAGTTTCAATTCCTATCCACCCTTTTCCTTTTGAATATGGGTATTGGCATTGGATTGGTCCGAACCCTAAGTCACTCTACTTTTCCATCTTGAAAAATAAATTCACTCAAATAGGAATGGAAACATAATATAGTAAAACTAAAATTTTATTTTCACATGCAAATAACATAGCCTACCTCGGGTAGGATGGGATAGTGGTGACATTATATCTTTTCTATAAATAATCGACTCCTTACCTAGATATCTATACGTACTAGTTTGTTTAAATTTTTCCAGTTCCGCTCGATTAGTTAGGTGGTAACGCCTTTTTCCCATATGCTTTCCCATGAGCCCCCATCGATAATAGTTATTTAACCGTTATCGAATAATTACCTCATAATTTCTTGACGATTGAGGTTGCTTGGTAAGGCCTAGAGAAGGTGACATTGCATGCACTTTTGAGGTAGTTTATATAACCACTATCGGACTTCATAAAGGTGGTATAAAAAAAACCTTCATGTATTACTGTAGTTGATGTGGTGTTAAAAGATGGAGAAATCGATTAATTATGATGCAACAAATAACATGGTGAATGGTTTGTGAATGAGAGAAAATGCAAAAAAAAATAATGTAGATGTGAATAGGGACTTTTAACAAGACTCCTCAAAGCTTGTACCATAAAAGAAAGTAATTACTCTTAACAATCTTCGCAAAATGTTATGTAGAATAACAAGAATGAATATTCGTAAGGAAAAAAAATGAAATAATGAATATATTAGTAAGGAAGAATGTTGTAAGAATCAATGAAAAATATTACATAAATGCTTTTGTAATGGATATTGTATGATGTGATAAAAAGTAGTACTTTTTACTTTGTAGTAGCTATGAAAGTATCTATATAGAAGAAACATTTAGTTATAACTAAGAGAGTGTTTGTTTTGCATCAAATATTTTTTGAAAAAATGTTTTCTTATTTGTGCTAAGTTTGTTTCTTGTAAAATAATTTTCAAGAAAACTAGTCGACATATGATCAATTTTTAAATTTTATTCATTTGTTGGAAAATATTTTCAACTCATGGAGTTCTCGTAAAATATTTTATGAACGAGTACACCATTCATAATATCATACAACCATTTCAGCCAATACCCCACCACCATAACCTCGCCATCATGATCTCCACCACACTGACATCATGACCACTTCCACATTCATTATCTTCATTACCTTCATCACCACAATACATGCCATTACCATTATCACCACCATAGCACCACCCCCTATCACCATAACCATCAGTACCATCAATACTTTGTGACCATAACATATCATCATTATTCTATTACCATCATATTTTTTAACATCATTACTTATCAAATACCATAAAAAGAAAATTTATATAAAATGTTTTATGGGAAAATATTTTTAGGCAAAACAAACACCTCTTTAAATTATGCAATATTATCCAAAGCATAGATGGAAAACTTTTAGAATTCAAATTGTAAACAAAATCAATTGGTGGCCATACAAATCACACTATAATTTGACTCAAGAAATCAAGAGAAAAAATAAATCATGTTTTGAAACACAAGTATAATTTCATTTGACCCTAAGAAATATATGAGTTCTATTAATTTCAAGAACTATTTATAAATTATTTCTTTGTATGAAGCATATAGTAGACGATCAAAGGAATACGAAGTCAAATATTAATTAAAGCACCTGTTTTAGCTTTTTGTTATTCTCTTATTGTAACAATCTTATCTCTTATCTTTGTATCTCTTTAGCTATCTTGTCTTTTTGTAAAGTTTATCCTTGTAACCATATGTTGTATTTAATCTCTAAAGGTTCATAAAAAAATTAATTATTCTCTAAACACATTCGAGTCTTTATGGTATTAGAGCTAAATTAATTAAAAGCTCTTCTCAATCGATCCATGACTTCTTTTATCCCATACAACCAAATTATTTCTTTTAATGCTCTTCACATCTTCCTACCAAAGTTACCTAGTCTAATTTTTCTATCTCGAAGAATCCAACTCCACTCTATTGGTATCAAACACAATCTCTTTGGCCATATCAATGGCCATCGTCCCCAACCTATAGCAGAAATCCCTAACCTAAAAGACAAACCAACCATTGAAAATCTAGAATTTTTCATCTAGTACAAATAAGATTAGCTCATCTTAAACACAATATTAAGAAACTCGTAGAGCATAAATTTAATCCTATATTTCCATTTTCTCTTCCTCAAAGGAAGTGTACAATCGTCTCTCTATCTTTTTTTGCAAATAGGTCTCACTCTCGCATTATGTCTCTCAAGAAAAGGCTTCATGCTAACCCATTTGGCACTTGTGCTATTACAAAATACATTTAAGATGTTAGAGCCACCATCGATGTCCTTGCACTATTGATACTTCTATTTTTGAGGAAGGCTTAATCATGCATGCCTTTAAAGGCATTGAAGATGAATTTGACCATGTCGTAGCCACCGTATGTGTTCATTGTTAACACCTAATTTTTGTCTTAAATAATTTAATTAATTTATGAGGTTTTTTTAAATAGAAAAAAGAAAAAGAAAGAGTTATTTGGAAAAAAATCTTTTAGGTATAATTGAAGAAAATTAAAAGAAGAGGTCTTGATTTAATTCAATTAAAGGGTGTAATGGAAATACAAGCAAATAAAATTATACCAAAATAAA